GGCGAGCATGGCCGCCTCAACGGAGCCCCGGTGGTGAGCAGCACCAGCTCCGGTACCGCTCAGCCTCGATCCGCCGGAGCTCAACGCCGTAGGCCCCGCGAAGGGCGAGGACAGTGGCGGCCGGGCTTCTTTTTCCTCCTTTCCTCTCTCCCGCGAAGCTCCTGTGCTGGTTCCGGCACAATTCTTGGCGGGGGACCTCGGCCGGCAGCGCCTCTGGCACCGGGGCGGGCGGATCCTTCCTTCCCCCGCCAGGATCTGCTCTTCCCCGTCAGGATCTGCTCCTACGTCTCCCCTACGGGCCTCCTCTACGTGCTCTTTAGAGAGGGGGGTGGCTCAACCAGCGGCGAGCGGCTCCACCATCCCGCCCCTCCGTGCGTTTGAGCCGAAGCGGGTCGGAGGTGGTGTTCTCCGCTTTCACCGGTGTTGGGGGAGGTGGCCCGGTCCACGGCGCACTTCAGGCCTGGTGGGGCTGGGAATGGATGACACTACGTGAAAAACAGTTTTTACCAACGGGACAAATTTTGTTAGGGGTGGCTAGTGATGGAGCCACCCCTACAGTGACGTGCTCGGGATCCACGAGACCAGCTGCCCCTACAAATGAAATAGCAGGGGAGGCTGGTGATACGAGCCGCCCCTACAAATGGGTAGAATTTGTAGGGGCAGCTCACTCACCAGCCGTACCCAGTGTTTCTATTTATAGGGGCGGCTGGTGACTGAGCCGGCCCTACAAATGCCCCACGTACAGTCACTGAGTCAACCGTCTGAAATATCTACTGCCCTCCTCTCTCTCTCTCTCTCCATCTCGACTCCCTCACTCTGTCCCTCGCTCTCCCTCAACTCCGAGCCCCTCCATCTCTCCCCCACGCCACCCCTCCCTCTCCCCCACGTGGTGACGGGACCTCCCTCTCTAGCGGAGGTGCAAGACGTCACACCCCCCTCTTCTCCGTGTGGCGGCACTCGGCGGCGCACCCTAGGGTGGCGGGGCTCGGTGCCCTCCTCCAGCACCGACAGTCGCACGGGGCCCGTCCCCGTCCCCTTGGGCCGGCGGCGCGCGGAACCCTATCCCCTCCCCCCATCGGAGGCACGGTGGCGGAGCTCGGTACTGTGGCTCGTTGGCGTGGCCTCCCGTCGAGCTCCAGTGGTGGCGGGACTTGGTGGCGTGGTCCCCTTCACCTTCTCTCCTCCGGCGCACTGCTGGAGGCCGCATGAAGCACATGGTGGCGGCCACCACCAGATCCGGTGAGGATGAGCTCGATCCGGAGAGGACCAACCCAGATCCGAGTGGCCACCACTAGATCCGGCGAGGAGAAGCTTGATCCGGCGAGGATGAGCCTAGATCTGGCAAGCGGGTGCGGCGGCGAGGATGAGCTCGATGAGGGTCGCGGGGAGGCAATACTACGAGAGCTCCCTGACGCCCGTGCCACCAGTAGCCGCAGCCCCGAGGGGCTCCCCGAAGCCCGCGCCGCCACCATCGCCCCCAGGGGGCTCGCTCATGCCCGCGCTAGTGGTAGCCGCCGCACCGAGAGAGCGCCCCCGCACACGCGCCGCGGGCAGCCGCTGCCCCAACAGGGCTCCCCGATGCACCAATATTACCTTTGCTTCAAATTTCTTCATTCTGAAAATTTCTGTCATCAAATCCCAACTATGATTTTGCTAACTATTTTGCACCAATACTACCTTTGCTTTGTATTTTATATGGCAACTTCAGTGCTGCTGCTTTGAGTATTGTGCCTGAATGCTAATTTATTTATAACTGTTTTGCTTAGTGCTCAATGCTCACTCTTAATTACGAGTTCTAACTTTTAAGTGCTCACTTTCACTGCTACTGTGCCTGAGCCTTATTTAGTTGTGTCCACTAGCATGAATTGTTTTTCCTTTCAATTTACTGTACTTTAACTATACATCCAAATTAGCTAATTACTTTAATGTTGTACATGTCTGAATGATGGAGAGGACTATGACATCGGGGCTGCACAGGAGAAGACAACATCGACATGATTAATATCAAGGTATGCCATGCTTCTACACTACTATAGGATGTAGCAACGGTGCATTTGTTAGAACAATATGTGTTCTTTATTCCTTGTTGACATCTAGCATCCCAAAAGAAGATAGCTATAATATATGATCTGATCCAACCTGACCTGACTATAGTATAGATAATTGTTTTCTGTCACCATTTCAAATTAGTTCTGCTTGAACTCATAAGTTAGACTTCAATTTCTAGTGCGGTTATATGTGTTTGCATGAGCGCTACTACGGCTTCGCTTCCCCCTAACTGTTGATTGTTTGATGATGGACAATATTGCATACTTTGTTTTCTGAATTTGTGATGCAAATGTCAATGATTTTAAGTAAAATTTTGAAACCACATTCATGTACTGTTAGTAGGGTCTGTTTGTAAATTCCGTAGTTGGCGTTTTGCTTCTGTCTTCCTCCAATGCCATTGCTTTTGATCCAACTATGATAGAACACACAGTTCTAAATTTAGGATCACCATGTTACAGAGTTCTCGGTGTCCACCTTATTTAATGTATTGAATTTGAACACAGTTTTTAAATCAAATTGTTCAACCATTCTCCAGCTCTGCAAGCAGGGCCAGTTCATTGAAGCTGGGAAGTTTCTAACAAAAAGTTACATGCATGGATTCTTTTTTTTCAAAGGAATATTGTGAAACTCATACATGATCAGTTGTGATCAATGATAACTAGTTATCCTTGCCACATGCAATACATTTCTTACTAGTCTTGTCCAGATTATAGGCAAATACCGACCAGAGTTTTTCCTCATGGGGCATGTATGGCCCCATTATGAAAGTGAAAAACATCAGAAGCATAAGCCTTAATATTTGATGTCAATATCTCCCATGATTTGAATTGCATTTTTGGATGTAACTAAGTCACTGACAAATGAAACACATGGATCTATTAGGTTGGTTTGTAACTTCGTATCAAAACATATACTTTTTTTTGTTGCAAAAGAACACACATATTGGGATGAAAATTCCAATATCTTACAATGAAGGATAATCCAAACTATTTTCAGGTGCCTTCTGCAACTGCCTTCTACCAGAAAGCATGCGGCTTGAGTCAACTGAGATAGCATCTTGCAGACTGTCGTTTCTAAGGTAGATTCTGGTGTTCTCTATTTCCTGTCATAACTGGTGGTTTCTCATGCTATTTATGACTTACAATATCATGCATATAGATTTCCTTGCTGTCATTTTTCATGTCTATACATTGTACTATTGTCCATTCTGGTGTGTTTATGCCCTATTGTTATCCAGTCTCATGTCATATTGCTGTCTGTGAATTTAGATGGTTCCAACACCACCAGCAACGATAACTTTGATGACGATGACTTGGAAGACAAACACCTGCTTCCGACATCTTCTGTTGGTGAAGACACAATTGTAAAAGAAGTTCACAGATGAATGTCTGATGAAGCCTTATAGTGAGTTCTCTCTGTATTATAAAACGCAATGGGTTTCAACACTCAATGTGTAGCTTGTCATTCATTATGTACATTGTCATTGTATTTTAAAAATGTAATGAGCTCTGTCTGTTCTGATATGAAATTTTGTGTACATTCAGTGTGTAGTCCACATTCATGATTGAGTTCATTCCACCTGTACCACAGTCCACATGTAATTCGTACTGCCCTGTTTAGATGTCTGTGATATGGCATTTTTGTTAAAATGTAAGTCAAAAGAGCTGATGTGTACCTAAACTTTTGGATAGTCAATGATCCATACATTGATTTGGGGGAGCATGTGTTGGTAATTTGAATTTTTTTGGCAGAAAAATGCACTGTAGGGGCGGGTGTTACTGTAGCCGCCCATACAAATCGATTTGTAGGGGCGGCTGGTAACACCAGTCGCCCCTACAAATTCGATTTGTAGGGGCGACTGGTGTTACCAGCCGCACCTACAAATGCATGATTTGTAGAGATGGTATGGTAGGGGCGGCTGGCCGAACCGCCCCTACAAACGCTCATTAGCCACCCCTGGAAATCATATCTAACGTAGTGTGAGGCGAGGCTGTGCTGGCCCTCCTCAACCTAGCTGGAGGTTGGCTGCAGCCATGGTGCACATCGATCTCTATCCTTGGACTTCGATTTGATTAGTAACTGCTACCCTATTGGTGCTCGATGAAATGCTTTGCTGGTGTTCTGTCTTGGTTGAATGATTATTGGTTTGCATCCACAGGGGCTGATTTCCTTGCTGTCCGGATAATTATTTTTTTTCTTTGAAAAATAGGTTTGCCGAGTGTATTTTGAAAAACACTCGGCAAACCATTTACCGAGTGCCCGATAAAAAACACTCGGCAAATAGCTGTTTGCCGACACACAGATGCCGTGTGTTATATGCCGAGTGTTATACTCGGCAAAGCAGTTGCCGAGTGTTTTTGGACCTTTTGCCGAGTGCCTGGCACTCGGCAAAACTACTGTATCCCGTAGTGATTAAGTTGACCCATTGCTATGCCACTTTGGGATCAGGATTAGCCATGAATTCCATCATCACTTATTTGAAGTCTTTCCTAGCATCTTCCTTGAAATACTCTCTCATTTATAGCTTTCTTGTAATAGTTGCGTCTTTTTACAGTTCTGGCCACTCGGGGAATGCTTCTTTCAAGCTTAACATCAAGGGCATGACTTGGACGATCAGGGCACTCCAGGTCAGACTTAAGATAGTTCGACTTATGGTGATTGTAGAAATTGATTTATTTTGGGTCGGTGAGAATATTAGCAATTTCTAACAACTATCCAACCCATTCCTCTGGTACTCACATGCACATATATGCATGCTTCCTATTTGTGGAAGATGTGCTAATTATTTATTGTATTAAAGTTTCACAAAAGAAAGTGCATGCATGTATATATACGTTACATACATGCGCGTGGACGATTCATGATCATCACTTATTCATCAACTTGTATGGTGGCCAATACGCAGCACTAGGCACTATCGTTCGACCACCGTGCCATCCCTTTGGTCCGCCTCACGGGCAGAACGTGACCTTGTAGTTGCTGTTGCCGCGGCAGCCATGGGTCTTCTTGTTGTCATCCGGGTAGAGGTACGCGTCGGGGCAGCTAGGGTGACCGCAGTGCAGGTTCATACCGGTGCTGCAGGAGAAGTCCATGGGCAGGTTGTAGCCATCGATTACCGAGATATCGTAGTAGTCGTTGGCGCCGTTGGTGTAGCCGATGGTGAACTCGGCCAGCGTCAAGGGCGGCTGCCCGGACAGGGTGCAGGAGAGGGCCCCGCCGCAGTCGCCCGTCTGGCAGTGCCCACGACCGCCGCTGTTGAAGGAGCAGCCGGTGCGGCCCCAGACCCTGCCGGACTTGGTGCCCGCGGGCACGTTGATGGTCCACGTCTGCCCCGGGTTCAGCTGCGTGCCACCGCCCACAGGGGTCGCCGCTGGCCACACTGTGTAGGGGCAGTTGTTCTTGATGGTGAAGGTGGCCGCGCTGGCGCAACCGACCATGGTGACGAGGAGGAAAAGGACCGACGAGGCGGCCCGGGACGCCATTGGTACTGGTCCTTGGTCAGGATTATTCTGCTACAAGTGAGCTCTATTGGTTGGAAGCATTGAGGAGCTTTAGTTGGCAGACGTATGTATTTATAGAAGTGTAGAGAGGGATTGGTTGAGAAGTCAGCATCGGTTGCAGCACATATATATTGCAATGAGGTTGAGCTGGTAGATCTTGAGAATCAAAAACTAAAAATGTCATTTCAAACATCTCACTGTCGACAGACACTTCATCTAGTAGTAAAAGAACAATACATACCGTCACCGACATCAAGTTAAGAACTTTGAATATAGGTAATTAGGTTCCGCCAAAAAAAAATCCAACCGAGCTAAGCTAGTTCACATACATGTTTGAATATAATAGAACCATTTTGATTAAGTTTCTATGCAAACAGGGCACAGGTCTGTGTATCCAGAACTTTGTTTGAAGAGCCGTGTATCCACAACTTGCATTGTAGAACTGGTATTGATCCGCTTGTATCACATAGTAATATGCCTTCTCAATTTTGTCTCAGCTCTCTTCGGTCGTAAAAAATGCTATGGGCGCTCTTAGAAAAAAAATGCAATCCAAAACTTTACCTGCTTCAGTTAAACGTCAACAAGAACACTACCCCTCAACCATCATGTATCTAGGATCAGGAGACAAGAAGTATTTTTTTTCTCCTAAAAATAGACAAGACCTCAAACGCCTTGAAGAAATATAAGGTCTTAAGTCTTATTCAGTAACTTCATTCAATTTGATGAAAAGCTTGAGTTGGACAAATTGTGCATTATATGTGTGCTTATTTATGAAAAATGTTTGGAAAAATTTCTTCTACATTTCGGTGGAATTTTTTCATGTTAGCTCAGCTCGAATTTAATTTATGGCATGCTTCGTCTAGAGATTTGTGAGTGCAATATTATTGCTGCGGGCAATTGTCATAGATAAATGAGTGGCTACAAGATATTCAAGCCCTTTGTTGATTTCCATGTATAGTACTAGATAGTACAAGGGCGAAGAAGATAAGAATTTGTTTAGTCAAATTTCCAAGAGTTTTTGCGTACATAAACAGCTGGTTGCAGAATTGTTGTGCAAATTTGAACCAATAAGTCAGCAATGAACAATAGCTTGGAGAATTAATTCATTAGCTGCCCTAGAATTCTTTCATTTTTCCATATCTGGTAATCTTTTTCCATCCATGGCACGTGAAGGCACCCGTATACTTCTAGATAGCAGATCACAACTGTATGATGTGTACACTCGCTCCAAACACGTATACAGTTTTTTGAAATATTTTATAAATTCTTCTATACACTACTGGATTCAGGTTCTTTGCCGAGTGCCAGTGGCACTCGGCAAAGAACACTAGACAACAAATTGATCGGCAAAGCCCTCTTTGCCGAGTGTCTTTTATCGGGCACTCGGCAAAGAAAAGTGACCGTCACGGCGCCGGCCCCGTTGACGGTCGCTTTGCCGAGTGCCAACTCTGCAGGCACTCGGCAAAGATTTTTTATTTTTTTTAAATTTTTTTTTTGCCGAGTGCCCTCTATCCGGCACTCGGCAAAGATGTTTTATTTTTTTTTCAAAAAATTCTTTGCCGAGTGCCCCCTGGCCAGCGCTTGGCAAAGTTTAATTTTTTTTAAAAAAAATTCTTTGCCGATTGCCCTCTGACCGTCACTCGGCAATGTTTGATTTTTTTTTAAAAAAAATTCTTTGCCGAGTGCCATGGTCATGGCACTCGGTAATGCTGAAAAAATGGTTTTCGGCGCCCATTTTTCCAACTTTGCCGAGTGTTGTGACCATGCCACTCGGCAACGAGGTCCTTTGCCGAGTGCAACACTCGGCAAAGTGACCCAAACGGCAATTTTTATTTTTTTTACATTCCATCATGACAAATAAATTCATACAAACATATATCACATATATATCTCATTCATCACATATATATCTCATCCATCCACACATCCATCCACACATATCACATCCATTACAATATATATCACATATATAATAATAAATACTCAAGTCCATCAAATAAATCCACAAGTCCATTACAAATTCATCAAAGTCCACAAGTGCATCACAAGTATATAAGTGCTCAGCCTCGTCTTCTCATCTCGCAGCTCGGACTTCTCAGCCTGCAGCCACACATTGAACACCGGTAAATACACTTTGGACGAATGGTTATCCAGATGTTCTGTGAATTGATTGATTGATTGACATACCTTGAGACTATTGATGGAGTCCTGGAGTGATTCGTTTGATTGCTTAAGCTTCTGCGCCTCGGTACGCAGCTGGTTCGTTCTGGAGACGGGTAGCGTCGCTTAGAATAGCAACTTTGTCGGCCTTTGGTGGCTTGCCAGGTTCCAAGATGGCGTAGAGCTCGTTGAACCTGGAGTAGTACATCATTAGGGAATGATCAAAGATGATCATACTCGGTGTTACAAGCGCTGAACATGTCTAGGCTGGAGCAGTGGGAGATTGGTATTGGTCACTGAGGGTCTGAACTCTGAAACACAATTTTCAAAAAAAAAACTCTGAAACACACCTTTCATTGAGCCTGTCTCGCCGGAGCTTCTCACGGCAAGCCTTGGTGCCAGGTGGCGCGCTGGACTCTGGCCGGGATCTGCTAAGAAGAAAGGGAAATAGGAAACCACATCAAATTATGCTCAAGATCACGGACTTCAGGGGCAACAGAATTGGACGTGAAGTATGTGATGGCTCCCAGCATCTGTGATGTGGACATTTTTCCGCTTTATTGTGCTAGTTCTGACTTTGATAGTACAGTCAAATGGGACCATGGACCATGAATTTGAACAAGTCGTAGTTCTCAAGGTGGAGTCTAATTATGAGAAAGCAGATTTGCTAGACGCACCTGCAAACACTGCATCTTTTCACTGCAACCTGAAATCTGTGAGTTTTCTTCTAGTTCAAGAACGATGAGCATAATAGACAGGTTGCCAATTCCTGAATACCACTAGCTCTACCTTTCTTGTCAACCAAATCAGAGGTCTGCTAATCAAGCACGTAATTTGTATGCCAGATCACTCAAACAGAAGCTAATACTAGCGACAAACAAGAAATAAGAAATATCCCAAACCATCCATGATTATGTCTCTGCAAGCTCCTAGACATTCAAAATCCACCAAGCTTAACTTTAGGGTGAGCGATTATGTCTCTGCAAAGATCAACTGAAAGGGAAGGAAGAAAAGAAAGATTGCCTCTTATTGGCGCCGGAGTTGTCCTGGATGCCGTCCTCCTTCCTGGGAGCATCGAACCCCAGTATCACGCTGCAAGTGCAAACCGTACCAACCAACCAACCAATCAGGCATCATCATCAACAGCTAGCCAACAACAACCCACCAAACAAGCATCAAAGAGGACCCAGCAAGAAGGAGAAGAGTCTGGCTCCCTCACCTGGAGACGGCCGGGTCGTCAACCATGTAGATGAACTTCGAGCCCTGGATCTCCTCCTCCACCAGGCTGTAGTCGAGCAGCCACCCGCCAGCCTGCCCCGCGCAGCTCATCAGCACCCATCCCAAGCAAGCAAGCGAGCAAAGCAGCACAGATCTTTCCGGGGCGCGCGGGCGGCCGGGCGGCGCGGGCGTGGGCGGTGGCGCGCGCTTGTGTGCGTGTGTGCGGGGTGTGTGGGCCGGCCCAGCCGGTGGGGTTAAATCAATGTTTTAAATCGCCGGCTATGCCTCTTAGCAACTGGCCTTCTGAACAGCTAAGTGCAGCTATAGCGGGAGATAGCTGCAGCTATACCATTTAGCTATTTTTGCAAAAAAAAAGAAAAGAAAAGAAAAAAAGACATGACCTTGGTATAACTTCATAACCATTACCAATTGATACATAACCAGTTCAAAGGAGTACATTATAGGTTCATAGGAGTACATTACATCACAGGCTAAGTGGAACAGAATACTAAAACATCAGTTTCACAAAAGTACATCATTCTAGAATAAAGATAATAAGAGTTCTGGTCTTCTGGATAGTGGATACTAAATTACTAATATGACTATGAGGCAATATTGTAATCTTCATTTCTTCGAGTCATCACTCATCAGACTCAGAGACATAGGGTGAGGGAGAGGGAGACTTATCAGAGTCAGTAGTCTGCATTGGAATACCATCATCACAATCTTCTGAGTCAGATGATGAAGCTTCAGGCTGCACTAGACCATTTCTCATCAAATACTGCAGACTCCTGACTTTCCTCTTCTTAGGGCGCACATGCCTTTTCCTTTTAGCTTGTGTTTGTGCTTCTGCTTGTTGTGGTGTGTGTTGCTATGATTCTTGTGCACATTGTTGTTCCATTTCACTTGGCAAAGGCACAATACCAGTAATGAATTCATTATCACCATCTGCCACAACATCATCTACTTCCTTCTCCAAGGGATCTCTATCCTTCTTCTCTCTCTTATTCCTTAACTTAGAGTTAAATTTAAAAAACACAAGATCTCTCGTCCTTTCATGAAGTAGCCTATTGCGCTTTTTTGTATGAACCTATGAGTTAAGTAGTGAACACAAGGCTGCAGGTCAGATTTAAATTCCATGAAGAAACATTATAATTCAAAAAAATAGCATGCACACTAGATGGATGACCTATGCAAAGAGCAGACACAAAATGCAACAAAATTAATATAGTTGCTTGAGTTAAGTACAAATCTTGAGTTAATATGGCAAACTATGCAAGATTGAACTATGATGAGCACTTGCTTTGTCAGATTTATGAGCAGCAACACATTGAACTATGATTCCAGCACTAAATGGATTTATGACAATGATAATAGCCGCTACAACACATTGCTCATACAAGACTGCTCTAAATGGATTTGTCAGGAACTGAATTCAGAGAGTCCAGCACTTACTTTGTTGATCTGCCATGGTGAAGCCGAAGATGAAGCCGCTGCCGCTTGGGGCCCCCTCGACGCCTCCGCCGCCGCTTGGATCGGGAGGAACAGATGGCTCTCTGAAAGTCTGAATCACCGTTTCCTACTAGAGTCGATTGATGCAGGCTTGGTTGATGAACGACTACCAAGCCGCGAGGAGAAGAGATGGCTATGAGTCGGAGCGGAGATGGTCGCACAAGACTCGCCATTGCCAGCGCTTGGGAACCCTCACCGCCGCCGCCTTGCCAAGCCTGAAGAAGCAATGAGCCATCGTCGCCACCGCCTCCTTTTTGCTTGTAGAGAGACCCAGAGAGGATGGGAGTATGGGACTTAGAGCTAGGGTTTCGCTTGCTTCGCTTGCTAGGTCCATACTGTGGGGTGTCAGGTCTTCTTGGGCATTCAATGGGTAAAAATTTTGGGCTCTCCAGCATGTAGAAACTGCTTTGGGTGCCGCTAAAATGTGCCTTGACTATAGCGGCTATCTCCGGATATCTCCGGCTATTAGGTGATTTGTTTTTATAGCGCTAAAATTGCATATCTTAGCTTCTACCTTGTCCACGACTATCTCGGCTATAGCTTCAGCTATAGCCAAGCTATTTAAAACTTTGGGTTAAATCCCCCTTTTTCGAAAGTGCCCCGATCTTGCACTTTCGGTAAGGTTTTTTTAATTTTTTAACCGCCTCTTTTGCGAGTATCACCTAGCCTAGCACTCGGCAAAGAAGGTTTAAAAAAATCTTTTGCCGAGTGTCGGATCGGCACTAAATTCCATTTGAAAATACTTTGCCGAGTGCCCACGACACGGCTTCGGCAAAATTCAATATTTTTTGAAATGTCTTTTTTGCCGAAAGTGCTTGATTCGACACTCGACAAAGATAGGAATTTAATTTTTTTGAAATACCTTTTTGCGAAAGTGCCTGTGAAGAACTTTCGGCAAGATTCTTAACAAAGTGCCATCTAAGCTTTTCGGCAAAGTTTTTTTTGTTTTTGGCCTCCAAATTCTTTGTGCAACCCTTTTAAAGTGCAAGAACTCCTCGTTAGAAAAGGGATTTTGTGATTTTTTGATATATTTAGTTACTTTATTTTCGTTTATTTGAATTTTTGAAAAATATAAATTTTAAGTGCATTAGTACGAATAATGGAATTTAATGAAAAAAAATGATAGTCATAGAAGAAAGTGTAGTGTGAGGCATATGCGAGAACGGACCTAAAATTTCGGACATCTTATTGTGGTGATATCGTAGGTGAACTTGCTCGGTTTGTAAGTGTTTTAAATTCTATAAAAAGCAAATAAAGTCGAAAATCATCCAAACTTGGTGAGATACATGATACAACAAGGCAAGATTTTTTAGGGATTTCGCTGATTTTTTATAGAATTTAAAAACAAGACATCACTAAGTTCGCTCTATATGTTCGTGAAACAAGATGTCCGTGGCGGGTCCGGCACTGACGGCCTCACACTACACTCAAAGAAAACTATCATTTTTGAATCTTTAAATTCCATTATTCGCGTCGTACGTGCTTCAAATTTATATTTTTCAAAAAAATTCAAGTAGACGAAATAAAGTAACTAAATATATAAAAAAGCCATAAAAAATCTGCAAATTCTAACGAGGGGTTCCTGGTACTTCAAAAGGGCTGCACAAAAAATTTGGAGGCCAAAAACAAAAAAAAACTTTGCCCAGTGCCGGGGCATGGCACTCGGCAAAGGGGGTCTTTGCCTAGTGCCTTCACAGGGGCACTCGGCAAAGTGGATTTTTGATTTTTTTTTAGAAATTTCCTCTTTGTCGAGTGCCTTCACAGGGGCAATCGGCAAAGACATTTCAAAAAAAATATATTGAATCTTTGCCGAGCATCCTGTCAGGGGCACTCGGCAAAGTATTTTTCAAAAAAAAATCTTTGCCAAGTGCCTAACAGCAGGCACTCGGCAAAGAAGGATGTGGTCGAACACCGTTACGTCGGGCAGCCTATGCTGAGTGCCCTTTTTTGCCGAGTGCAATTCTTTGCCGAGTGCCCGATTTTTGACATTCGGCAAATGCTTTGTTTCCAGTAGTGATAGATAGGGATGGTCATGATATACCACAATATTTTATTACGAAACTTAACTTAATAAAAAGATAAAAAAACATTTTTAATGATTCTTAGAGATAGTTCCTTATGTGAATTGACTCAAATCATTTCCATCAAGGATCAAATTAAAAGGTTACATCTTAATATTAACAAGTGGCTACAACTATGTGATTTGATTGTAAAGGCAGATGTTAGGCCGAGGCCTTGTTGCTAATTTTAAAGAGCTGTCCATCTCACACTAAAAATGACTGGTATGTTTATATGTTAATCAACAATATAAAAATTATCGTTTGCTACACTGGTACATTTACACTTAGGGGTTTCATGGCTTGCTACAGGGGTTTCAAAGTGATTAGAAGTCAATTTTTAGTACTTATATGTATCCTTCATATATATCAAGTGCTTATTATCTGACTAGACCAATTTGATGAAAAGACAATTTTGGTAGATTTTGTTTACTAACTCTGTATATGGTTGCACTATCAGCCGTGAATGTTTCTGAGATAATCCAAATTTTCTTTGCCATATATTAGTTCTCAAAAATATTTGAGTCTCTGGATTTGTTTCTTTAATAAGATGACCACATTATTAGCTTACAATGTCAAAGATCTTGTCCATTATTTCTTGACCAAATCAGAGAATTGTACTTTATCACTTGCTGATTTTTCTGTGTTCTTCACAATATACCAGTACTAGTTCCTATCCGACAATTGCATTGGTCATTTACTAGCAGCATGTGAAGCACACAGTTGGAAAATAGTCTTATTAGTAGTCTGCAATATGAAACACTTAAAAACTATATGTAAACCATTTGGGTGGTAAAATTTATGTGATATGAAACTACAAATGGTGTATCCTTTACGTTGTTCTCGCATGTTAGAGCCATCATGTAGGTTGATGTTTATTGCTGCACAATTTGTTAGCTCAGATTAGCACACCATTTGTTTCATTTATTGCTGAATATATTATTCCAAATATTTGTATATGCAGCTAATGATCATCTCCCTATTGTAGGTTTACAAAGTGAAGTCGATGGAGCCTTGGCTCTTCTTTTAGCCCGGAAAGCAACAAAGGCCTTGATGTGTGTGTGCTGGATTGATGATTCATAGGCCCTGTTTGGTTGAGCTGTGGTTTTTGAAAAAGCTGCCCTGAGATGTGGGCTGTTGAAAAGCATCTGTGGGAAAAGCAGAAGGCCCTTTGGTTAGAGAAGCTGTGAAAATGCAGGCTGTGAAAGAAATACCTGTAATAACCTTGAAGGCCTGGGGCTGTTTATATGCAAATTGCTTGTAAAAAAATAATCTGTTCACTAATTCGCATGTTGTTTACACAAAAAATTGGCAAGCTTACCCTAGAGAAAAGAAGGAATCGGCCAATAGAGTGTATACATGGTATTTCGGATAGCTGCCGAAACAAATAGGAGAATTACCAGACGGTGTCCTGTATATATTTTGCGGAGGCCAAAATAGGAAGTTGTACAACATCAAACTAAGGAGTATGAATCCAGCGAGAGTCCAAGCAAAGCACGATGTTGATCAATGGTCGAAGAAGCAAAGAAGGAGATAGGAAAGAAAATATATTTTAATTGGCCAGGCTACATAAGGTGTATCATCTATGTGCAAGGGACAAAATGAAATATTCTGTATATTTTAGGACAAACGCTTGACATCCAAGAAGCTCTTCATCGGCCAGAAGATATTATTTAATATATTTTGAGAGAAGCCTCATGTCCAAGAATTCTTCACGTGAAGATAAGGGAAAAGAGAAGGAAAGCTAGAAGATTAGAGATATGCATGCACATCTGAACACCAGACTTGCATGTTTGGTTTATCCATACATCCCATACATAGCCAAATATCACTACTGGAAACTCGAATTGTTCAGTGGGTGATAAATTTTTCTGTGCATTTTTCGAGACGCACAGAAAAATTACGATTATTCAATCGGTTCCAAAATATCCCGATAGAAAAATACGAAAACCCTGTGCGTGACAATACACACACGGAAAAAATCAGCACTCACAGAAAAATACAATTTATTTTGTCGGTTCTATAAAAACGCACAGAAAAAATATATGCACGCACAAAAAATCCTAACCCTAACCCGCCGGCCGCCGCCCCCAAACACCCTCTCACACACGCACTACACCGCGCCCCCTCCCTCACTCTCTCCTTTCAGCGCCTCGAGACTTAGCGCCGCGCCCTCCGTCTGCAACTCAGCGACGGGACTCCTCCCCTCCCCAAGCAACGCCGCCACTCCTCCCCTAGCCGAGCAGCGCCACTGCTCCTCCCCTCCTCCCTCTCCCTCTTCATCGATGTGGCGGGCGCGGCCCCTCTCCTTCACCCCTAGATCCGCCCAAATCCATGGCGGGCGCGCCCCCAGGCGGTTTGGTCCGGCACCACCACCTCCACGCCGACGGCCGCGCTCTCCCTCCCTCACTGGTGGCATGAGGACGAGGCAGGGCCGCATCCGGATCCATCACCGCCACCGATGACCGAGCAGATCCGTGCCCTCCACCTTCTTCTCCCCCGCCGACGCCCCTCCCATCCCCCTTCTTCTTCCCCGACGGGTGCCCCTCCCCTCCCCCTTCTTCACCCGGCCGGATCCGGCCCTCCCTCTCCCGGATCTGGCCCTCCCTCTCCCGGATCCGGCCGGTGGCTGCGGTGGTGGTGGTGGTGGCCGACGGCAGGGCGGGGTGGTGGTTGTTGGTTGTTGTATTTTTTTATGTGCAACCTGTGATGCAAATTCCCATTTCCCGAATCACTGTGATTATTGCAACAAAAATCACCATCTTTCGGTTGAGATTGCACCACAAATTTAGTTTTTATTGCATTCAGATTATGTTTTCTAGTGTAGTTTGTTGTAGTCAATGCCATTTGGTATCTGACTTGTATTCATTCTTTGTGATTGTGTGTCTCAAAACATGGCAGCCCTTATAAGAATATGGGGAAATCACATGCAACTAGATTTTTGTTAGAAATGTATGGGAAGTCTAGTAGGTCCACATACAACAACTACATTTATGTTGTGCAAATGACTTAATGAGCTACCTTTTTGTAGTTCCTTGTGATTAACTCATGCATCTTTGGCCAATTGTTAGCTGATGCAAACTTTCATAGATCTTAGTATAAAGTATCATTGATCAGAGTACATGAGCATTGGAAGGCATACTCAAATAAGGGGAGAGATACATTGAATAAAGATTGC